TTATAGACCAGCTAGCCCAACTTCAGTAACCCCACAAATGTGACTGCTGTTTAGTTTTCTGTCTTCATTTATGTCTGAAGTGATAGCAGAGCTGTACCTTTTAATTTGTTTCAGAAATCCCTCAGTTAGAACATGGTATATTATATTTAGATAGAAACTAGTGAGCTAACTCCCTGCTAACTTCTAACTCCGTTAAATGTCATAAATTCCGTTTCCATTGATGCCTGGATGCCCTGGATGGACCTGGTAGAGGAGGCACACTGATCAGTTTATTACAGATGAAAGAATTCAGACAGTTTTTCAACTCTCAGTGATCCCGCAATGATCGTTTGAGTTATGGACCTGCAGCGGAGTTTGGACCCAGACACGGCTAATGATGTAAGACTTAAAGACCGGATAGGATTTGGTTTGTGAGTCTAAGGCTTCGTTCACACTGCAGGCGAAAGTGCATCAAATCCGATTTTTTTGACCCTATGCGACCCATATCCAATCATGGTATGACAGTGTGAACGGAACAAATCCGATATTTTCAAATCCGATCTGGGTCACTTTCATATGTGGTACTGAATCCGATACATATCTGATGTTTCAGAAAGCGACTGCTGTTTGAATGGTCATGTCGCATTAAATCCGTCTTTTACGTCACTGACACAAGACAGACACCAATTATCAGCGCCGGAGAAGAGCCCGAGAATACATCGTGAACGCTTCCTGGCCATCCAGTGTAGATGTTAGTGAAACTGTTGGGAAGACAACGTTGGAGAAACGTGAACATTTTATTTGTACTGTATAATCTGCAGATTCTGACAGAAATCTGCAACTATCCTTTGAAGCACCGCTCCTCTCTAAAACAGCAATAAGGATAATTATTAGGTTATTTACATTATTATGTAAATAACAAAATAACTTAAAGAAAAAATTGGGAAAAATAAAGTCCAAAATAAGTCTTTATATTAAGGGCCATCAGTCAAACAATATTGTTTGCTCTGGGTCTAAACAGAGCGCGTTGTGTGTGACGTCTTCTTTTGCACATGCACTAGAGCGCGTTTGCTGTCGCATTTTATTTGTAGTGTGAACAAGCTGACAAAAAAATCGGATTTGATCAAAACATCTGAATTTAACATTAAGACCTGCAGTGTGAACGTAGCCTTAGTCTAAAGGGTTTGCGACAGAGAGAGATGTCAAAAAATAATTAAATTAATTAGTTACATTTGACCACAAAATCAAAATGTTTGGTGAGGAATGCAATTAAATAACAATGATAATTATATTTTAGCATATAACATATCACTTTGATTAAAGAGTTTGTGCATAGTGGTGGATTAACCATTACAGATACAGAAAAATGCTGTTACTTTAGGGCGGCTTTGGCATAAATGTTATATTGGGTAGTTGTCTAATAAATGTGTTTAGCACTGTCAATAGTACTAATTAATAAAAAAAACAACATATATGGCAGTGGAAAATGTCTCAAAAAATGTAAATTATTTATTAAAAAGAAAACACTGAATTGCATGTAAATACAGTTCCATGAACATTAACAAAAATGTCCTTAATTTAAAATAAAATAATTTAATATTTAGGTTGAGTCTTGTTATACTGTTCATCTATTACTATACAGTGTTATTACTGGGTTATTACTGATATATTCTGTTATATAAAAAAGATTAAAGAAGTACTTTATTTACTGTTTGATCAGTTAATTGATGAAAGTAAGTCGATTATATGTTAAATAGAATTTTCAAAAAACTAAACAATGACAATTTTGAAATATTTCCCGTAAAGCGAAAATGGCAATAAATTGGAAACACTGCACCACTGGACTGATGACAAATAATAGGGCGGGATGTTTATAAGGAATTTTTTAAATCATTAAGATCCTAATTATTTGCCACAATTATTTGTTGATTTTGCTGGTAAAAACATTTAAACGCTGCTGTCACATTTTCATCCTTGTCCATTACTCTTCATAAATGTATCTTTGCAGACAAGTCTTTGAATGTGTTCATTTTACCTCCAACTTTCCCGGACAGGTTCTTATCTGTCATTTAATGTAGTGTTACTTGTCCAGTAGTGGTACGTGCTGCATGGAGCAGGTGTGATTGGCTCATACAGGCATGGGGTTGATTTGCTTTTGCTTTGAATTTTATCGGTGGAGCACACATTTAAAATATCACCAGATTATGTTTGTTTAATTATAGGATGCCAATTGTGTGATTGAGATTAAAATCAAATGATCCCCTAACTGATGTATTGCTTTCAACTGAGTAACTGTTATTGCATGTTAAGTCTGAAGATGGTCAAGATGAAGGCTAGCCAACAGTCCAACAATTACATACTGAAGCCCACCAACCTGTCAACAATATCGCTGCCAACCAGTGCAGGTAATTAGGGCTTCATTTTTGTATGTGAGCACTTAATAGTGGGAGTTCAGACCTGCGATTATAGGGCGTAATGGGTTGGCTAGTTGCTACGGAGTTGTCTGGCATTTATGCTAAATATGTCCACTCATCTCTTGTGTCACGAGGAGCCCCAGGCTCACACCATGACGTTAATAGTCAGGCCCCACTGCTCGTCTCTCCTCCCCTCCCTCCATCTGCTCCTCTTTTTCTCCCCCCCTTCCTATGGCTCTCCCTTTCATTTTTTCACTTTGTTTCACTTACTTTCTCATTTGTCTTCTCTTTTTGCCTTTGGACAAACTGCATGAAAAATGCTTTAGAAAACACCAGAACTGAGACTTTTTACTCAAGTTTTGAGCACATGGAAAAATGTTGTCTCAGTCTTTCTTTGTATTTATGGCCTTTTATTTGTTAGCATAGTGTTTATGTTAGGGGTGGGTTACTTATGCTTTACATTGTAAACGATGAAGTACATTTTCCAGACCTATTCTAGTCTTTGTCCTCTTTTGTTGGATGCTTTCTTTAGGGTCCGCCACAGTGGCCCATCTGCCTCCATCTTACCCTATCCCTAACATCCTCCTCTGTCACACCAACTCTCTTTGTATTCTCCTTCACTACATCCATAAATCTTGTCTGCTGTTTTCCTCTTTTCATTCTGTCTTCTACCTCCATATTCAGTATCATTTTTCCAGTGTCCAGTTCAGTTTCAATGACGTTTATTTTCTCTTCTATTGACTCTGTATTATGTGTGTGTGTGTTTGTGTGCTTTTTGTTTTCTTTTGTTTATTTTGTCGGTGGGTTTGAGCACACAACATTACAACTTTGTTATGAAGTGCTAGATTAATTTTATTTGCATTAACTTCCAGTAATCCTGATTAAGAAACTTTTACTTCAATAATATGAACTTGACAAATTACTAATGTTAAGTTATTAAAAACAAAGACTAAAACATGATTAAGTAAATGTGTTAAGAAAAAAACACTATTCATTTCCCAGTCAGGACTACAAACAAAACAAAAAACACTCAGTTTTCATTATCTGTGGGATATATTAATCAGTGCATCAGGTAGCACACATTATAATTTTTTTCTTCAGTGAGTTAAATTATTGGAGTAAAACTATTTCTGCCATTTATGTTAAAATAACAAATCATGTGGAGTTAAATTTACAGAAGCATTTTCTTGTTTTACTTTGGACAAAGCTCACATGAAAGCATGAAATTCTCAAAGAATCTCAATGCACACAACAAACATGATTAAAAAAAAATGCTCTGTCTATATGAAATGCCACTCAGTATATGACTTTCATAACTTAAAAACGTTGCCATCATACTGTTCACTTACGAAACATGGTTTAATGTGGCATATTATTTTGCAAATGTAAACACTAATCACCCCCCCCCCCCCCCCCCGCCCCGTCCCCAAAAAACAAACAACAAAAACCAAAACACAGCAAGCCTTAATAATCATTTCTAACATTTCATCTTTTCTCTTCTGTAAAACTATTGTTTTTTCTAATAATTGAGATTTATTACAACTATAGTCATTAATGTTTTATATATCTTATACTACATCATAAAGTATCATAATCTTAGATTACTTACTAACCTGAACAAATAAAAACATCTATTGAGGAACTAAGCACAAATGAGCTCTTAGGATGTGTTAAATTTAAACTCCCTGATCACCCCCACATTGTTTCTACATGCTAATCCAGTCTATCAGTAAAGATTGATGACTATGAACTATTTTTTGTTCATAAATGCAATCTCCTCCTCACAGAGAAAATGATGCTCACGCCAACAATCTTCATCACTCCACTGCCCAAGGGCGCTTGTCTTATCAATGACACCACAGTGGTTGGACATGGGCATCGCTGGTATTTTGCCATTCTTCCATTTGCTGTAGCCCACTGTTCTGTCTTTCCAAATCCAGAACCCAAAGAGAGTACTCTGCCTGAGACCAATCCAGAATGGACCTTCAACCTCAGTGTGATTTAGCCATTGTTCAACAGCCTTCTGATCTTCCTCATCCTCAATCCACAGCAGGCCATTGTGGTTTTCCTCACAGTAGTCAAGGGCTCCTTCCCAAGTAGATTTATTTTTGATAACTTTGATTCTCATGTTGCCTGAAAACCACGCAAAAAATATAAGTAAGATAATATAATTTCAGTCACATCATGAATATTCTGCATGCAAACCTTCTACGCCAAAATAATTACTACTCTTATGTTGCAAATAATACTTGGATAGATTCAGTTTGTTCTACTAAGTCAATTATTTATATAAATACACATTTGAGGTTTTAGTGGACCTTTAATTTGTCTTTTCAGTCTTGCTTTTACTTAAAGGAAATATGGGGAAAAGTGCTTGTGTTAATACAATAGTATAAAAAACCCCCGAATAGAATTGTGTAATTTAGGCAACACTAGAGCTAATCAGTTCAGACTGAATTGGTGACTGGCTAAGTTTTGTTTTAAAGACTCCTCCTATAGTTACTTTAACTTAAAATATTCATATTTCACAGCAAAATTATCGGTAATAGCTCCTGTCATAGTTACTGTCAAATTAGTTTGTTGAAATAAATAGTTACTTACCTTTAGTGCAAAATATTCCTCCGTCTATGGCACACCGCACTTTATGCAGATTATTCAAATCAAAGGTAGCACACTCTGGATTATTATTATTATTCTTCGGCCAGTTTCTGTATGTAGAGCAACTTCCATCTACCCATGTCCACTGATCGTGTTGAAGCCCAATCCAAAAGGTTTTGTTTTTTCCTTTTTCAGACACGTCATTGTTTTGGGTCTCATTACTGATGCTCACTAAATCAGTGTAATGTCTTCTACAGTACTGCAGTGCCTGGCACCAGTCCTTTTCCTTATCAATCAGTATATAATTATTATCTGCAAACAAAAGAAGCACAACATTTATTTTGTTTTATTTTTTTGTCATTCATTTAATTAAAATAACTGCATTTTCATCACAAGTTTTAAGGTGGTTCTGGCTTAAAGCAAACCCAGACTATGTTTAAACTGCATACTCAAGTGACTCAAATCAGACAAAACCTAAATGGAATATATCTCTGGTAAGGTGTGCTGTCAGAGTAGTCACATGATAATTCATATATTTTGGTTTGTACAAAAAACATTGTGCCTGTCATCATTCAGGGAAACACCTTGCATGGTTTTGGTATGATTGTTGTACTGAGCATGCAGATTAACATTTTGGGACCTCATCACTGTTCACAATTAATTGCTCACAAATGCATGAGTAGAAAATGTACACAAAAACAATGTATCTGACAAAAAGAAGAAGGCCTTGAATATGAATGCAGCTGTGCTGTGTTGCAAACATTTAAGAGGCATCTTACAAAGTGTTGTTTTTGAAATCACCAAAATGCAAGCAAATATCACTTGCTTGATTTACCTTTGTAGCACATGAAAGGCTTCCTGTCCGAACAGTTGAAAGCTTTCCATGTTATGTTTGTCATAGCTTCACAGATTTGGTCATCACCAATACTAGTTACTTGTGAGTTATTAAATGCAAGTGAGTTTCCATCTGACCAAGTCGTGACACTGCTTTGATTCTTACGCAGCCCTGACCAAAACTGAACCCCCTCCTCTCCAGGCACATTCTTTAAAAGAGCACCTAAGTCCTCTTGATGATACACAGTTACCAATGAACTGTCATTGCTTTTACACTTGTTCAGTGAATCCATCCAGTTCATTTTGTCGTCATCTTTACTTAAAAAAAACGAAACCCTTCGCAGATGACTTCCAACTGTAAAGTCAAAAAGTCCTATAAAAATGAAAACAGAACAGGATCATATTTTTCATTTGCCCAACATATATAATGATAGAAATAACAAACATTATGAACAGCATGACTGTTAAATTAAGTAATTTAGGTTCAAAATATGACAAATATATTTCCCAGCTATAAAATAATAACCTTTTGCCTATTACATCTCTAAGGAATATTTCATTAATTTACAAGCTGTTACATGTAAAATAAGAACAGTGACACATCACATTCAGAGAAAAACATTAAAAGTGGCTTTCTTTTAATAGAACTATTTGAAGGCACTGCTCCTAAAATTCATCTTTTATGTCCACACACACACACACACACACACACACACACACACACACACACACACACACACACACAACATGCAAGCCAAATCAAGACCACGATGGGGAAACCTACCTAATGACAGCACCAACAACACAGAGGTCATCATCAGCACGGTTAGGGATAGGCTCATATTGTAAAATGACTGGCTTAGAAAAAAAGCACAAAGATCATTTAAAAAACAAAGTGGAGTCCAAGTCAAAGGGCAATTATTCTCTGTGGCTCAAGAATTAATAAAAGTTTGATTCCCTGATTATTTACAATAACTTATCTGTAACCAGACTTTGTTCAGACTTTGTTTGTTCAATAAATTAATCCAAATTGCATAAAGTCTCTTACCTGCTTTGGTCAGAGGCCCACTGCAGTCAGTGTTTTGTGTTAGGAACTCACTGGGTTCATATTTAAGAGCGATGGAAGGTAACTGAATGTGTACATAGGAAAAACAGTGACGCCTAGAGATTAATAGTTAACCAAAGCCTGTCCTGTGGGGCTGAATGGCAGTCACAATTGTTATAGAAATATTATATTTCCGTATATCAATCTTAACAACTCCTGAAAACAAGAAACACAAAACTGATATATTTTAACAGTAGAAGACAGACTATTCCTGGATTGTTATAGTCATTAAATACTTGTAAGCTATTGATAAACCCCTTGTATTCAAAAGGATACAATTTTAACTAATTTTAGTCCTGGATGATAATCTGTGCTACAGCTACACATTCCTCTGAATTTAATTTATACAAATAATCTACACAAACCCATCATCATATGGAACTTTGATCATTACTAGCTATCTTTAACCACATCTGACCTTCTTCGTTCTATCTAAATGCGTAACTCACATTTTTCCATCTTAGCTTTGATTCAGCCACAAAGTCAAACTCCTCACATTAAGAATCTCTTTCTTAAGAGTGTCCTATAGGTCCAGTAAAGCAGCATTAACCTAGATTTTCCTAACTCCTGCTTGAGTTTGAACCTGGGACCTCATAGTTATAATTCAACAGTGCTAAGCATTGAGCCACTGCACTGTCTCATCTGAATAAGCATTATTCTATGAGCAATGGGGAACAGAGGAATTTTTGTAAAGTTGGTAAACATGTTATGCCCCTTCCCCCCCCCCCCTTTTCTTTCTCTTCTATAAATTTCCCATCAGATTAATTATGTTTTTAAACATCACATTTGGAGTTTATAACTTCAAATATCAAATTACTTGAATCAAATGTAATCTGTCACAAGGGACCGTTGTTTTCCCAGTCACTGGGCTTTACTCTCCCTTTCTTGAAGGCATTTGTTTTTGTTACTTCCTGTGTATTGTGCAGCATATTTTCTGTTGTGGGTCATGCATTGCATCTTGTTTCACAGTTAGTTACCAGTTCATCTATTTTCCACTGCAGTGTCCGCCACCTGTGTTTTTCGCTCATGTTTCTTGTTTCATGCCTTCAGCATTTCTGCCTTCTTCAGCTTTTGAAGCATTTTTCCTAAATTATCTTTCAAGTTTTTGCTAACATCAATTTCCTCACTTTTTTATTAGCTTGGTTAATAAAGCTCACCTTCTACTCATCGAAACTTCCTTGCATGTTTTGCATTTGCTTCCTGTTGTTCCTGAACTCGGCAATATAGTTACACAGTACACGAGAGCTACATTTGTTTATTATTCAAATCATGAGACTGGGAGTAGAGTCGGCAGCAATTTACTGTAGGTGTCTATGAATAGCCCTGTGTGTCAGGAGAAGAAATGCAAATCGGGTTGCAGGTTTTGGTGAATATTTAACTCTGGACTTGTTGAGGGGTTTAAAACGTCAAGTATAGAAATTTTTCTGAGCTCTGCAAATTATTTTCACATATATTTTCACATCATATCGCAAACCCCAAACTTCACCATGTGCAGACTTGTCAATAGGTTACAAACTCTGCAGACTTATGTTCTGTGATCTTTTAAACAAGTGTTTTAGATGTGATTCAAATCTTAAGATGTACAGCATACAATGGCAATAGCCTGTTATGTAAAGCAGTTTAGGGTTACTGTAGCAGTATTAACTTGAAAAGAAAGCTAACTCAACCAATAGATGCTTGTGCCATATGAATTACATTTTGCATTTACAGTGTAAAACGTGTAACTTGGAGACGCCTAGAAACAGAATATGAAGTTTGCAGTATGGTGCCATTTAAACAATAAAATAATTTTTCATCTGGGCAAAGAAGAACATACAGAAATTGCTTTACTTGGCTGATCTTAGCCACTGAACTCTGAAATAAAGTATGTGGATCACCTGATGTTGCAAATCTCTTTAACATCCACATACACAAGGAAATGGAACAGAGCTACACCCATCACATGCATCTGCATGTAGCCTCGCATCTGAATTTCAAATAAGATCTGTAATCTTGCAAATATGTCTCGCTCGGTCCGATTTACTGCTAGCAGTAAGGCAGCTCACAAAAAGCAATTGTAGCTGGAAGCACAATAAACTGAAACACCTTTGTCCACATTGGAAGTACCCCAGGAACAGGCAGAAATCAAGTTTAAGAGATCAGATGGATTCTCACGTCACACCATAGCTGAATCCCTGCATTGCTGACAAAACAAAGTTTCACGATTAAAAGGGCACGCGTCGCCTCACATCACTACAATAGCAGCTCTGTAATATACAGTAAATTGCTTCAATGGACAGCATTCCTCAAGGATTCAAGCCCTAGCTCACATTTTTTTTCAGCTTTCATGCTGTGCATCATACAGCCTCACAATGCCACACTAACATGGTGGTGTTAGAAGAAATGGGATTAATGTTGTAATTCAGTAATTTGACAGCCTGTCATAATCACAAACATTTGTGCCTCTCTAGCACTGCTTGGCACATAGCTGAGCAGTAGTAGAAGGAAGTGAAATCCTGTGGTTGTATCAGTGCAGATGTTTAAGTCAGCACTGACATCATGAACATATTTGCATATTTCTGACTTGTGGGTGAAAGGAACAAGAACAGCATCATAATGAAATGCAAATGTTGGCTGCTACGTTTCTATCAGAACTCTAAATATGAAAAAGCACCCGTTAGATAAGCTCAGCAATGCAACACTGGTAGAGAGGCCCACTGAGAAGGAGAATAAATCTGGTTCTACAGCGCTGTGTAAGAAATACTTGTTTTCAGTTTATTAACTGAACTGAAAAGAAGGCTTTCTTTTAAAAGAAGAAACTATTGAAAGATGTCACTGGTAATTTAAGAGCATTATAAAATATTAGGATTTGAGCACATTTAACCTCCATAGTGTCATTACTGCGCACTCCATGTGCTCAGGTGCTAACTGTGCACTGACCTGTTTGGTTGTTTCAGCTGGACTCAGGAGGATCCAGTGCTTCCACAGTGACAGCTACCTCCTTTATTAAGTAATTAACAAGTATGTAAATTGGTTCCGCAATTAAGCCACAAAAATCTTAAAAACATGAACGTCTTTGTGTTGTGCATGAGCACTTTTCAAGAATGCGTGTGTGCATAAAAGAGAGAAAGATAGAGAGCGAGCACAAGAGAGAGGTGTCGAAATGCCGAGACAAACTGAAGCATACTCAGGCCAACTCGGTAAATGAGGACTCAGGCACGCTCCAAGGAAACCATGCCCAGTGTGAGTAGCTGCTACAATTTAAAAAATGGCTTTTTAACTATAATGTTGTTACACAACACTGTTAAGAAATCCATAGTTTCATCGATTCTAAGAGGGCAATTCTTGAAACAGAAAAGCAAAACTATCTCCATAAAACACCACAGGAACTCTCAGAGACACTCAGCGTTTATCAGTGCAATCTTTGGACGTGATTATATTCATGTTTTGATTGAAGTTGATATAAAGGCAGCACAAAAGGTGCAAAGCTTTGAGGGTCATGAAGCCAGGTCAAATGCTTCATTATTACTGAACAGATTCCACGTACCTGTGAGCAGTGCAGCAAGGTGCATGCTTGGCACTTTAGCCAAGGTCTAAATCAGATTCTTGGCGAGTATTGATGCGTATGCACCCACGGATTGTGTGCTTGAAGTGAGGTCAAATGCGCTTGGAGTACTCATGCTCTCTTCAAGTGTGTGCAAGTAAAACTTTGATACGCATGCACGCAGTTTGCTCTGCTGTCGAACCTCCCCCTCTGTAGGCGTGAGGCCGCAGTGACCCTGGGAACTGATGCAATAGTGGGGAAAGCTGGTAAAGGGAGAAAGCAGGTGAAGCAGTTTTGCCCACGTAAGTGCTGTGAGACATTTGCCCAAGACTTTGCTTTTAAGCCCTGCGTGTATATTTGTGTGTGTACCTATGTGTACTGCTCTATAAGGCAGGAATTGCACAGAGTTGCTGATTGCCGGCCAGTGAGTTCTGGCACTAAAATAGGAGACAGTGTAAGTGTTTTCAAATGTATGCGAAAGCCATCCACTTGGCTTCCTGTGTGATGTCCTTAATTTAGTATAAGTGTAGTACATTACTGTAAAGATCGATGGCTGTTAAAACTTGACTTATTAAGTTACCAGAAGCAACAGCAATCAAGAAGTGAAAACACTGCTTTTTCATATGTGTCTATTTGGGCTTGAGTTGGTTGTGTTAGCTAGTCCACTACTTTATTAAAGACTGACTCTGAATCTGGCACTAAATCTACGGTTTCCTTCAGTACACCTGAAAATGCCTGAACCTTTCTTTTTAGTTATCATCAGGTCAAAGCTCAACTTTGTCAAACAGTTGTCTTTATGACCAGATTGTTGTGACGTTGGTATCAACAGTACTGTGTATTTATTTAAGACTGTGGCTCAGAAGGTAAGGTAGAGCATGCCATACAATAATTGGCTGATTGTCATGGTCTGGGTAGTTCTTCCTTTTTTTTTTTTTTCTTTTTTTTTTTTTCTGTGTTGTTGGCGTTTCCACCCCTGGGCGAAGAACAACACAAAATACAGTGGCAAACTGTCCTGCCTTTGTGACTGTGAGGTAGAAGCATAGTCTGAAGGGTGTAGTTGGGTGGCAAACGGTCCTACCTACTTAAATTTGTGGAATTCTTGCATGACTGCAGAAATGTGCATAAACTACGTATGGTAGGGCGTTTTGCCAAAGTAGGATGGTTTGTCACAACACCAGTGGCACCTGTGAGTAATTAGGCTATTTAAGACCAGTGCTCACAATCGTTCCTCGCCAGAACATCTGCTAACCCTAGTTAGTGAAGGCCGTCATAGTTCATAGATTTAAATCATAGTGCTACTGTGGACTCATTGTGCTCTCTCCTGTTCTCACAGCAATTCTCCAGACATTACTCACCTAACCGCTATAGCTTTCTCCTGTTCAGTCCCTGGTCTGCTTGCAGTTTCTCTGTGTCACTCATCTCCCCGCCTCCCTGCCCTGCACTCTGG